CTGCCCCGCAGGCAGGGGGTCGGGATGGGCACCATCCCCAGCTGAGCACGGGGACGGGACAGGACGATCGCCATCCCCAGCCAGGGACGGGACAGGCGCAGGGCCAGGCGACAGGAGGGGACGCCGCCCCGTCCCTACTGCCCACCTTGAGGTTGTGGCCGTCGAAGGGCAGGGAGCCGCTGACCAGGGTGTAGAGGATGACGCCCAGGCTCCAGATGTCGACCTCAGGGCCGTCGTACTTCTTGCCCTGGAAGAGCTCGGGGGCGGCGTAGGGGGGGGACCCGCAGAAGGTGTCCAGCTTGGAGCCCAGCGTGAACTCATTGCTGAACCCGAAGTCGGCGATCTTGATGTTGGCGTCGGCGTCCAGCAGCAGGTTCTCCGCCTGCAGGCACCGAGACGGGCACGGGGATGGCAAGACGGGGCACCGTGTCCGGCACGGGGCCAGCGGGACAGGCACCGCATCAGGCATAGGGACGCCAGGACGGGGACACCGGGATGGGCACCGTGTCGGGCCTGGGGACGGCAGGACAGGCACCGCATCTGGCACGGGGACACCGGGATGGGCACCGTGTCGGGCCTGGGGACGGCAGGACAGGCACCGCATCTGGCACGGGGACACCGGGATGGGCACCGTGTCGGGCCTGGGGACGGCAGGACAGGCACCGCATCTGGCACGGGGACACCGGGATGGGCACCGTGTCGGGCCTGGGGACGGCAGGACAGGCACCGCATCTGGCACGGGGACACCGGGATGGGCACCGTGTCGGGCCTGGGGACGGCAGGACAGGCACCGCATCTGGCACGGGGACACCGGGATGGGCACCGTGTCCAGCGTGGGGATGCCGGGACGGGCACCACATCAGGCACGGGGATGGTGGGACGGGGACACCGGGACGGGCACCGCGTCGGGCATGGGGACACCGGGACAGGCGCTGTACCGGGCACCCCATGTGGCACAAGGACACTGGGAAGGGCACAGTACGGGGCAGCGCCGCCGCGGGGCACCCCATGGCCCCCTGCCCGGTGACACCCCTGGGCAGGGGACACCGCGGGGCACCCCATGGCCCCCTGCCCGGTGACACCCCTGGGCAGGGGACACCGCGGGGCACCCCATGGCCCCCTGCCCGGTGACACCCCTGGGCAGGGGACACCGCGGGGCACCCCATGGCCCCCTGCCCGGTGACACCCCTGGGCAGGGGACACCGCGGGGCACCCCATGGCCCCCTGCCCGGTGACACCCCTGGGCAGGGGACACCGCGGGGCACCCCATGGCCCCCTGCCCGGTGACACCCCTGGGCAGGGGACACCGCGGGGCACCCCATGGCCCCCTGCCCGGTGACACCCCTGGGCAGGGGACACCGCGGGGCACCCCATGGCCCCCTGCCCGGTGACACCCCTGGGCAGGGGACACCGCGGGGCACCCCATGGCCCCCTGCCCGGTGACACCCCTGGGCAGGGGACACCGCGGGGCACCCCATGGCCCCCTGCCCGGTGACACCCCTGGGCAGGGGACACCGCGGGGCACCCCATGGCCCCCTGCCCGGTGACACCCCTGGGCAGGGGACACCGCGGGGCACCCCATGGCCCCCTGCCCGGTGACACCCCTGGGCAGGGGACACCGCGGGGCACCCCATGGCCCCCTGCCCGGTGACACCCCTGGGCAGGGGACACCGCGGGGCACCCCATGGCCCCCTGCCCGGTGACACCCCTGGGCAGGGGACACCGCGGGGCACCCCATGGCCCCCTGCCCGGTGACACCCCTGGGCAGGGGACACCGCGGGGCACCCCATGGCCCCCTGCCCGGTGACACCCCTGGGCAGGGGACACCGCGGGGCACCCCATGGCCCCCTGCCCGGTGACACCCCTGGGCAGGGGACACCGCGGGGCACCCCATGGCCCCCTGCCCGGTGACACCCCTGGGCAGGGGACACCGCGGGGCACCCCATGGCCCCCTGCCCGGTGACACCCCTGGGCAGGGGACACCGCGGGGCACCCCATGGCCCCCTGCCCGGTGACACCCCTGGGCAGGGGACACCGCGGGGCACCCCATGGCCCCCTGCCCGGTGACACCCCTGGGCAGGGGACACCGCGGGGCACCCCATGGCCCCCTGCCCGGTGACACCCCTGGGCAGGGGACACCGCGGGGCACCCCATGGCCCCCTGCCCGGTGACACCCCTGGGCAGGGGACACCGCGGGGCACCCCATGGCCCCCTGCCCGGTGACACCCCTGGGCAGGGGACACCGCGGGGCACCCCATGGCCCCCTGCCCGGTGACACCCCTGGGCAGGGGACACCGCGGGGCACCCCATGGCCCCCTGCCCGGTGACACCCCTGGGCAGGGGACACCGCGGGGCACCCCATGGCCCCCTGCCCGGTGACACCCCTGGGCAGGGGACACCGCGGGGCACCCCATGGCCCCCTGCCCGGTGACACCCCTGGGCAGGGGACACCGCGGGGCACCCCATGGCCCCCTGCCCGGTGACACCCCTGGGCAGGGGACACCGCGGGGCACCCCATGGCCCCCTGCCCGGTGACACCCCTGGGCAGGGGACACCGCGGGGCACCCCATGGCCCCCTGCCCGGTGACACCCCTGGGCAGGGGACACCGCGGGGCACCCCATGGCCCCCTGCCCGGTGACACCCCTGGGCAGGGGACACCGCGGGGCACCCCATGGCCCCCTGCCCGGTGACACCCCTGGGCAGGGGACACCGCGGGGCACCCCATGGCCCCCTGCCCGGTGACACCCCTGGGCAGGGGACACCGCGGGGCACCCCATGGCCCCCTGCCCGGTGACACCCCTGGGCAGGGGACACCGCGGGGCACCCCATGGCCCCCTGCCCGGTGACACCCCTGGGCAGGGGACACCGCGGGGCACCCCATGGCCCCCTGCCCGGTGACACCCCTGGGCAGGGGACACCGCGGGGCACCCCATGGCCCCCTGCCCGGTGACACCCCTGGGCAGGGGACACCGCGGGGCACCCCATGGCCCCCTGCCCGGTGACACCCCTGGGCAGGGGACACCGCGGGGCACCCCATGGCCCCCTGCCCGGTGACACCCCTGGGCAGGGGACACCGCGGGGCACCCCATGGCCCCCTGCCCGGTGACACCCCTGGGCAGGGGACACCGCGGGGCACCCCATGGCCCCCTGCCCGGTGACACCCCTGGGCAGGGGACACCGCGGGGCACCCCATGGCCCCCTGCCCGGTGACACCCCTGGGCAGGGGACACCGCGGGGCACCCCATGGCCCCCTGCCCGGTGACACCCCTGGGCAGGGGACACCGCGGGGCACCCCATGGCCCCCTGCCCGGTGACACCCCTGGGCAGGGGACACCGCGGGGCACCCCATGGCCCCCTGCCCGGTGACACCCCTGGGCAGGGGACACCGCGGGGCACCCCATGGCCCCCTGCCCGGTGACACCCCTGGGCAGGGGACACCGCGGGGCACCCCATGGCCCCCTGCCCGGTGACACCCCTGGGCAGGGGACACCGCGGGGCACCCCATGGCCCCCTGCCCGGTGACACCCCTGGGCAGGGGACACCGCGGGGCACCCCATGGCCCCCTGCCCGGTGACACCCCTGGGCAGGGGACACCGCGGGGCACCCCATGGCCCCCTGCCCGGTGACACCCCTGGGCAGGGGACACCGCGGGGCACCCCATGGCCCCCTGCCCGGTGACACCCCTGGGCAGGGGACACCGCGGGGCACCCCATGGCCCCCTGCCCGGTGACACCCCTGGGCAGGGGACACCGCGGGGCACCCCATGGCCCCCTGCCCGGTGACACCCCTGGGCAGGGGACACCGCGGGGCACCCCATGGCCCCCTGCCCGGTGACACCCCTGGGCAGGGGACACCGCGGGGCACCCCATGGCCCCCTGCCCGGTGACACCCCTGGGCAGGGGACACCGCGGGGCACCCCATGGCCCCCTGCCCGGTGACACCCCTGGGCAGGGGACACCGCGGGGCACCCCATGGCCCCCTGCCCGGTGACACCCCTGGGCAGGGGACACCGCGGGGCACCCCATGGCCCCCTGCCCGGTGACACCCCTGGGCAGGGGACACCGCGGGGCACCCCATGGCCCCCTGCCCGGTGACACCCCTGGGCAGGGGACACCGCGGGGCACCCCATGGCCCCCTGCCCGGTGACACCCCTGGGCAGGGGACACCGCGGGGCACCCCATGGCCCCCTGCCCGGTGACACCCCTGGGCAGGGGACACCGCGGGGCACCCCATGGCCCCCTGCCCGGTGACACCCCTGGGCAGGGGACACCGCGGGGCACCCCATGGCCCCCTGCCCGGTGACACCCCTGGGCAGGGGACACCGCGGGGCACCCCATGGCCCCCTGCCCGGTGACACCCCTGGGCAGGGGACACCGCGGGGCACCCCATGGCCCCCTGCCCGGTGACACCCCTGGGCAGGGGACACCGCGGGGCACCCCATGGCCCCCTGCCCGGTGACACCCCTGGGCAGGGGACACCGCGGGGCACCCCATGGCCCCCTGCCCGGTGACACCCCTGGGCAGGGGACACCGCGGGGCACCCCATGGCCCCCTGCCCGGTGACACCCCTGGGCAGGGGACACCGCGGGGCACCCCATGGCCCCCTGCCCGGTGACACCCCTGGGCAGGGGACACCGCGGGGCACCCCATGGCCCCCTGCCCGGTGACACCCCTGGGCAGGGGACACCGCGGGGCACCCCATGGCCCCCTGCCCGGTGACACCCCTGGGCAGGGGACACCGCGGGGCACCCCATGGCCCCCTGCCCGGTGACACCCCTGGGCAGGGGACACCGCGGGGCACCCCATGGCCCCCTGCCCGGTGACACCCCTGGGCAGGGGACACCGCGGGGCACCCCATGGCCCCCTGCCCGGTGACACCCCTGGGCAGGGGACACCGCGGGGCACCCCATGGCCCCCTGCCCGGTGACACCCCTGGGCAGGGGACACCGCGGGGCACCCCATGGCCCCCTGCCCGGTGACACCCCTGGGCAGGGGACACCGCGGGGCACCCCATGGCCCCCTGCCCGGTGACACCCCTGGGCAGGGGACACCGCGGGGCACCCCATGGCCCCCTGCCCGGTGACACCCCTGGGCAGGGGACACCGCGGGGCACCCCATGGCCCCCTGCCCGGTGACACCCCTGGGCAGGGGACACCGCGGGGCACCCCATGGCCCCCTGCCCGGTGACACCCCTGGGCAGGGGACACCGCGGGGCACCCCATGGCCCCCTGCCCGGTGACACCCCTGGGCAGGGGACACCGCGGGGCACCCCATGGCCCCCTGCCCGGTGACACCCCTGGGCAGGGGACACCGCGGGGCACCCCATGGCCCCCTGCCCGGTGACACCCCTGGGCAGGGGACACCGCGGGGCACCCCATGGCCCCCTGCCCGGTGACACCCCTGGGCAGGGGACACCGCGGGGCACCCCATGGCCCCCTGCCCGGTGACACCCCTGGGCAGGGGACACCGCGGGGCACCCCATGGCCCCCTGCCCGGTGACACCCCTGGGCAGGGGACACCGCGGGGCACCCCATGGCCCCCTGCCCGGTGACACCCCTGGGCAGGGGACACCGCGGGGCACCCCATGGCCCCCTGCCCGGTGACACCCCTGGGCAGGGGACACCGCGGGGCACCCCATGGCCCCCTGCCCGGTGACACCCCTGGGCAGGGGACACCGCGGGGCACCCCATGGCCCCCTGCCCGGTGACACCCCTGGGCAGGGGACACCGCGGGGCACCCCATGGCCCCCTGCCCGGTGACACCCCTGGGCAGGGGACACCGCGGGGCACCCCATGGCCCCCTGCCCGGTGACACCCCTGGGCAGGGGACACCGCGGGGCACCCCATGGCCCCCTGCCCGGTGACACCCCTGGGCAGGGGACACCGCGGGGCACCCCATGGCCCCCTGCCCGGTGACACCCCTGGGCAGGGGACACCGCGGGGCACCCCATGGCCCCCTGCCCGGTGACACCCCTGGGCAGGGGACACCGCGGGGCACCCCATGGCCCCCTGCCCGGTGACACCCCTGGGCAGGGGACACCGCGGGGCACCCCATGGCCCCCTGCCCGGTGACACCCCTGGGCAGGGGACACCGCGGGGCACCCCATGGCCCCCTGCCCGGTGACACCCCTGGGCAGGGGACACCGCGGGGCACCCCATGGCCCCCTGCCCGGTGACACCCCTGGGCAGGGGACACCGCGGGGCACCCCATGGCCCCCTGCCCGGTGACACCCCTGGGCAGGGGACACCGCGGGGCACCCCATGGCCCCCTGCCCGGTGACACCCCTGGGCAGGGGACACCGCGGGGCACCCCATGGCCCCCTGCCCGGTGACACCCCTGGGCAGGGGACACCGCGGGGCACCCCATGGCCCCCTGCCCGGTGACACCCCTGGGCAGGGGACACCGCGGGGCACCCCATGGCCCCCTGCCCGGTGACACCCCTGGGCAGGGGACACCGCGGGGCACCCCATGGCCCCCTGCCCGGTGACACCCCTGGGCAGGGGACACCGCGGGGCACCCCATGGCCCCCTGCCCGGTGACACCCCTGGGCAGGGGACACCGCGGGGCACCCCATGGCCCCCTGCCCGGTGACACCCCTGGGCAGGGGACACCGCGGGGCACCCCATGGCCCCCTGCCCGGTGACACCCCTGGGCAGGGGACACCGCGGGGCACCCCATGGCCCCCTGCCCGGTGACACCCCTGGGCAGGGGACACCGCGGGGCACCCCATGGCCCCCTGCCCGGTGACACCCCTGGGCAGGGGACACCGCGGGGCACCCCATGGCCCCCTGCCCGGTGACACCCCTGGGCAGGGGACACCGCGGGGCACCCCATGGCCCCCTGCCCGGTGACACCCCTGGGCAGGGGACACCGCGGGGCACCCCATGGCCCCCTGCTGTGCCATCGGGGTCCTGTCCCCATGCCCCCCGTGTCCCCCTGTGTCACTGGGGTCCTGTCCCCGTGACACGTGGGGTCCCCTGTGTCACTAGGTTCCGTCCCCATGCCCCCCGTGTCCCCCTGTGTCAACTGGGGTCCCCATGCCCCTCATGTCCCCCTGTGCCATTGGGGTCCTGTCCCTGTGACACGTGGGGGCCCCTGTGTCACTGGTTCCTCCCCCCTTGCCCCCCGTGTCCCCTGTGCCATTGGGGTCCCGTCCCCGTGACACGTGGTGTCCCCTGTGCCATCGGGGTCCTGTCCCCATGCCATGTCAGCGTCCCCCTTTGCCGCGCTGGGGTCCTGTCCTTGTGCCATTGGGGTCCCCCTGTGCCACGCGGGGTCCCGTCCCCCTGCCATGCTGGTGTCCCCCTTTGCCATCAGGGTCCTGCCCTGTTCCCGTGCCACGTGGGTTCCCCTGTGCCGTGCAGGGTCCCGTCCCCCGTGCCGTGCTGGTGTCCCCTGTGCCACGTGGTGGTCCCGTCCCTGTGCCGCGCGGGGTCCCCCTGTGCCATCAGGGTCCTGCCCTGTGCCATGTCACTGTCCCCCTGTGCCATCGGGATTCTGTCCCTGTACCACGTGGGGCTTCCCGGGCCACGCGGGTCCCATTTCTGCCCCGTGCAGGGTCCCACCCCTCTGCCACGCCCGTGTCCCCCGTGCCGTCGAGTCCTTGTCCTCGTGCTGTGCCGGGGTCCCCCTGCGCCTTGTGGTGCCTCCTGTGCCAAGGGGTCTTGTCCTGTCCCGTGCCCAAGCCCCCCTGTGCCACCGGGGTCCCATCCCCGTGCCATCGGGGTCCCCCTCTGCCACCGGTGCCCCCTCCCCGTGCCACGCAGGGGGTGACGGCCGTGCAAGGTGGGGTCCC